TGGAGAAGGACCACGCTCTCACAGAATACCAGCGTAAAATAGCAGCTTAACACTGCTGTATTTTGTATGGTGAGTGTAGAGAACCGGAGACCCTTTTTACTGGAAAAGAGGCATTCCATGTTAGTCCTCACGGGTGACAACGCATCTGCATTTTGATTCGTAAATGAGGATAAATGTAGATGTGTATGGGCCACAGCAACCACTTACCATCAGGTGGACTGTGTGCTCGTTTGTCACCTTAACCTATAAAAAAGTCAACTGCTGAACATAGGCCCTCCTCATAGACATTAGACAATACAGTGGATTTTGCTATAGTTGCCACACTGAGCAGGCGGGTGCTTAACCGCAGTGTTTTTGGAACGAAGTTCCTTATTGGACGGTACGAATTTGGCGGATGGGGGCTAGGCAACTAAAAGTGTAAGATTTTTTCGTCACCACCCCTTCTGACGTAGTGTAGACGGCCTTGGCCTTCCTTATAAGGAAGCGAGATGGAATAATATCCATCTCCCTCGTACTTTTTCTTATTTTGCCACGAAAAAAATATTATTTTATTTTAAATGACGCTTAATTTTAATAGACGCTAGTAATTCAATTATTTATTTTGTATTTGTTATGTAATATATAGAAATAAATAAAAATGAAGTGTCTGTTTGTAATGTCGAAATAACAGCTTTTTAATATAAGTTACTTATAACAAAAATACAATTTTTTAAATTTTTGTCTGTCTCTCTGTCTGTTTTGGCTAATCACAGAAACGGCTGGACTGATTTTGACGGGACTTTCACTGGCAAATAGCTGACGTTATAAGAAGTAACTTAGGCTAATTTATTTAAGAAAAAGAATTAGGGTTCCGCGCAAAAAAATAAAAACCCCAAATAACACGCGGGCGAAGTCGCGGGGAACAGCTAGTCAATAATATAATACTTTTATCAATAATAATATACTGCGAAAGGAAGTTCGTTTCAACCGAGTGTTCCACGACACTCACGCGTGTTTTTTTTTATTATTTAGAGTTGTTATCAGGAAGATGCTGCTGCCCATCTACTACCTATCGCCTGTTTCAGTTTCCCCCTGTCGCCTCTTACGACACCGACCACTGCACGATATGGGGTAGTGGATATTCTTACACCGCCACTATATGGCACTAATTACTGTCAAAATACTTAATTAAATAGATCACAAATTTTCTTTCAATATTAAATTATAGTGGGGCCGGCGATAACTGGGGGACAGTCATTTTGTACATTTCTTCATCACCCTTTATTGCTATAGTTGTCACAATTAAAAGAATACGGCGTTACTTTTGCGAAATTGCATTATAGTAAAGACTATCTGTGCTCCGCGATTTCGCCCGTGTGGAATTTACTACAATTTCATGGGTTTTAATTTAATTGCGCGGAACCCTAATTATTTAAAAAAAACTATCCTAAGTTACTCCTTATAACGTCAGCTGTTTGCAAATGAAAGTCCCATCAAAATCAGTCCAGCCGTTTCGGAGATTAGCCGGAACAAAAAGACAGACAGACGGACAGACAGATAGACAAAATTTTTTTAAATTGTATTTTGTTATTAGTACCATATGTACTTTCATATGCATTTAGTAAAAAGCTGTTATTTTAACATTACAAACAGACACTTCAACTTTATTTATTTGTATCGATGTTAAAAATTACGTAGCCAAGGTCCTTATAATAAAATAAAATGAATATTCTTCACCAGTTTGTAGAGCACCTCTCGTCCTGCCCCAATTGCGTGCGTCACCGTCACCACTAGTCCCAACACCACTAAACTAGGAAAGACACACCACCGTCGATAATACGCCTATAAAAGAAGCATCATCGGGTGAAGTAGACTTATCGATCAGCCAGCGCAGAACTACGTAAGACACAAATTAGGTAAGATATCATTTTGTTTTATAACGCGCAATTTAGCTAATTAATTTTTAACAGTCGTTTAAGAGGACATGCGGGTAGTCTTTTCTCCATACAAACGCTCTCGCCTGTTTTCTTTCTGGTTTATGAGCTTATAGCAATGAGTTTTTACAGTAAAATAAATATCAACCTCTTTTATGTCCCTATGTTTTACCTTTTGATGACATATTATCCTTATAAGCACTAGAACCCTTACAAAATGCTCAGAATTGCCTATTTAGACCGCTGTAAACAGAGGCCTAATGTTCAAATTTGATAACTAATACTCAAAAAAAGAAAAAAAAAAAGAAAAAAGTTCTTATTCAGTTTATGAAATATCTTTTAAATTGGTCCAATATTAGAGGAGTAAATGGTAGAGAGGCAAACCTCGAATTATGCCTTTTTACTTAGGCTATTCAGTCGGATCTGCAGTTGTCTTTATCGGACGCCGAGCGCTCGCAAAGAGACAGTGATAGTTTCATCAAATACCTAATTTTCATAATTTAAAATTAAAAATATTGTACAACCGACTTCAATATAAATGATTAAGAATAACTCAAAGAATATTGGTTAGACCTTGAAGAAATTTATATGGGACCACATGTGACGCACCAGCTTTCAAATAAAAAAGAATCATTCAAATCGGTCCACCCAGTAAAAAGTTATGAGGTAACACACATAAAAAAACATACAGTCGAATTGAATACCGTCTCCTTTTTCAAGTCGGTAGAAAAGTCGTTTGGCCCGCATTTCCTCTTAACAGTTGTTGCACTTGGTAGGCTGGTCGGCAGCTGTTTTTTTTTCATTATTATGTTGTTATCAAAATGGTGCTACTGCTGAAGTAGATGGATGTAGGTGGCTTCAGACCGAGCTATGTGATATTCCTTGTGTGACGTGTGATAGGAAAGGCTTGTGTAATGATGAAGAGGATGATTGAATTATTATTCTGGCGAATTATAGACCTTAACAAAGTACCTTTTTAAAGTACAAGAAAGCTAAGCATCGCTGCAATAAGTCTCTACGGGGGGGGGGTCTCTACATGTGAGATGAAACGGCTAGAAACTAACAAGTAGACTTTTTTTATAGAATAGGGGTGACAAATGAGCATACAGCCATAGACATAAATTTATCATCGTTTAAGAATCAAAATGCAGATACGTTGTCAGCCGTGAGTAATAAGATGGAATGCCTCGTTTTCAGTAAAAAGGGTCTCCGGTTTTCTACACTCACCATACGAAACACAACAGCATTAAGCTGCTATTTTACGCTGGTATTCTGTGAGAGCGTGGTCCTACCCCGGTCGAGCCGACCCATTCGTTCCACAACCATAATGTAGCTGCAGCTTGGCTCTACCACTTAAAAAAAGAACTATTTTTCTCCAAACTGTTACAGTTAAACCTTATAAAATATACACTCGAGTCAAGAAAATCAAAGAAAGCTCATTAAGTAAGTATGTACACAGGCTTTCTTATCTAGATTTATATAATAACTATATTTCATTAGAATGCTTTTACATGCGCCTTGAATTTAAACGTGGGTTATATTACAGGTAAATATTACAGGGATTCTCGTTATAAATATCTAAACATCTCCTAGTAATCTGAGCGTCTACCCAAAATTAAGTTTTATGAAGGCTGTACTTCGTAACAGCAAGTTTTAGATTTATTGTGCGTTTTAAAGATGGACATTTGTCAAAGATATCAAAATATTGTCACAGGTATTAAAATAGTTACTAGCATAAGTTTAAATAAAACTAATTTTACGGATTTTATCGCGTATATTAACTTATTTTATATTCCCGACGTTTCGAGCACTTTACCGCACCCATAGTTACCAGGGGGGGGGGGGGGGGGAATGAGGTGTATGACGTCCCAATGTCATAGTTAACCACGGCTACCTCCAGATTAAAAATTATTATATTTTTAATCTGGATTATTAATAATGTTTAATATTGGGAAAAAAATTATATTAATGAATATAAAATAAGTTAATATACGCGATAAAATCCGTAAAATTAGTTTTATTTAAATGTGTAGTGTTCGCGTAAATATAAGAAATCATTACTAGCATAAGTCTACACATCTTCTATTCATCATCATCATCATAAAATAAATAAAATAGAAGGGTCTATTCGTAATGTCAAAATTACAGCGTTTTACTAAATGCATATCAAAATATATAGGTAAGATACTTATAACAAAAAAAAAACAGTTTTTAGTTTTTTTGTCTGTCTGTCCTATTTGTTCTAACTTAACTCCGAAACGGCTGGACCGATTTTGGCGGGACCTTAACTGGCTGATAGCTGATGTTATAAGGAGTAACTTAGGCTACTTTTATTTTGGAAAAAGAGTTAGCGTCAATTTCGACGCGGGTGCCGTCGCGGGGAACAGCTAGTATTAGCCTAAATGCGATATAACAGTTATGATATTAATTTCTTTTAAAAGGTCTCTGAGTGACTCCCTTGGTCTAATATTGTAAATAGCATGTATAGCTCTTTTCAAACGGCTTCAAAAAGGAAGGACGTTTACAATTCGTCGGAATCTTATTTTTATGTATGTTCGCCGATTACTCGAAGACGCCTAAACCGATTTGGAAAATTCTTATTTTTTTTCAAAAGCTATACTTTCCAGGTGGTCCGATTTAAATTTTATCGAAATCGGTCGAAAGTAGTCGAAATAAAAAAATCAACAATAAATTATATTTATATTATAGTAAAATACTTGGTACTAATCTTCTCGGGGGAGCCTGATCCCTAGAGAACGCGTCCCCAGGTGGCGGATGGGGGAAAGCTCGCTGGACGCTCCGTTAGGGTGTTCAGAGGGTTGGGGTGAAATAAAATAGCCCCCGCGGACCAACAGGCCGGAGATGGACACTCCGTATCAAACCCCTGCAGAGAGCTTCTTCGACATACTTGAAGGTGAGGTCTATGCAGTGCTGAGCGTTTAGGCTGGAATGCTCAGTAGGGATGGTGGCGGAAGAACCCATGAAAGGGTCAACGGCAGCGCCCACACCTTGCGAGTAAGGTACAGTCTTGGCGTCAGGTGACAACCGGCCGTAAAACTACAGTCAAACACTCTTCTCCTCGTTAACATGAAAAAAGGTAATATAAAGAAAGTGAATACAGCTAGGGCGTACCCCAGAAGCGACGTGAATGAGAGAAATGCGAAGTATGCGGATAATGAAGAATATGCTAGGGCGTTCCCCGTAAGCGACGAATATGACAAGAACGAAAAGTCGCATATTTTAATACAATCTAAAATAAGATTAGCTACGTGGAATTTGGGCACACTAACAGGAAGGGGTCAAGAGCTGGCGAAAGTATTACAGGCACGAAAAATTAACATATGCTGCCTACAAGAGACCAAGTGGAAGGGGTCGAAGTCACGAGATCTGGGACTCGGATACCAGCTCTTGTACTGTGGCAATACTAGCATGCGTAACGGAGTTGCCATCGTCTTGGATGAAAACCTCAAACAACGTATTATTGACGTAGATAGAAGGAACGATCGACTTATGGCAGTGAAATTGGCTATGGATAACCAACCCCCCTTGAACATAATCTCGGCATACGCACCACAGACCGGGTGTGGCGAAAGTGAGAAAGAAGCTTTCTGGGACGAGTTTGATGACTTACTAATCTCAATAGCACCCGAGGAACTAAAATATATTGGAGGAGACCTGAACGGCCATGTTGGAGCCAGTAACACGACGTACAAAGACATACAAGGGAAGTTTGGTTATGGCACACTGAACAAAGACGGAGAACAAATACTGGAATTCTGCGCGCGACATCACCTGGCAGTAGTTAATACCTTCTTTAATAAAAAGTCGGAACACCTAGTCACATATAAAAGCGGGAACAAGCAATCTCAAATTGACTATATCCTCACAAACAGAGATTTACTAAGAACTTTCAGAGACTGCAAGGTAATACCGGGCGAATCTTTGACCTCACAGCACAGAATTTTGGTCGGCTGTATAGCGCTAATCAAGCCTATAAAATACACCACGGTCAAAATCCCCAAAATTAAGTGGCACTTGTTAAACACAGAAAAAGGAGACAAATTATTAGAGGAGATACGGGAAATACTAACTGAAGATATGAAAAATGGCCATAACCTTTCTGCGGAGAATACGTGGTCTAAATTTGAAAACCTGTGCAGGAATTCAGCTGAGAAAAACTTAGGAATATCGAGAGGAAAGCTGCATAATAACAAAGACCCTTCATGGTGGAATGAAGAAGTAAAAGGCGCATTAAGGAACAAGAAACAGTGCTTTAAACAATGGCAGAGCTCAGGTTTGGACGACGACCGCATACTATATAAAACCGCTAAAAAGCTGGCGAAGTATAAAGTGGCGAAACAAAGAAATTACTCCAGGGAAAAGTTCTACAAACGCCTTGAAAATGCAAACAATGATAGAGATATATTTAAGCTCGCCAAACAACGCCATAAAAACGGTCTGGATATTAAAATTAATAAATACATTAAAAACGAAAATGGCCATTTACTAACAGAAGATAACAAAATTAATGAGCGATGGTGCCAATATTATCAAAAACTACTGAACGAAGAATTCCCGAGTCAACCATTGAATACAACCCCTAGCGTAGCTGGGCCATTGAACAAAATAGGTGAAGAGGAGGTCAAAAGAGCTCTGAAAAAGATAAAAAACCACAAAGCAGTTGGACCGGATAGTATACCCGCTGATCTGTGGAAGCTGCTGGGGCCTATTGCTGTACAGTGGCTAACGAAGCTCTTTAATCAAATCTTAACCTCCATGAAGATCCCAAAGTCCTGGCGTCATAGTTATCTGGTACCTTTCTACAAGAACAAAGGAGATGTCAGTGACTGCGGCAATTATAGGGGTATCAAACTTACTTCCCATACTTTGAAACTATGGGAGCGCATACTCAACAATCGACTCTGTCAGTTGGTGTCCATATCTGATAATCAGTGTGGTTTCGCGCCAGGAAGATCAACGACTGATGCAATCCAAGCCATAAGGATTCTGATGGAAAAACACCGAACCAACAGAGAAGACCTCCACCTAGTGTTCATAGACCTGGAAAAGGCTTTCGACAGAATACCACGTAAATTAGTTTGGGAAGCTATGAGAGCACAACAAATACCAGAAATCTATATTCACCTGGTGCATGATATGTATCAAAACATAAGCACACAGGTGAGAAGCCTGGCAGGACTTAGCGAACCGTTCCAAGTTAAGGTCGGAGTGCATCAGGGATCGGCACTAAGCCCATTCCTATTTAACCTATCTCTGGATTATCTAACTAAAGACATCCAGTCCCTCCTCCCATGGTGCATGCTATATGCGGACGATATTGTGCTCATCGACAAATGTGCGATTCGACTGCAAGCGACACTCGAGCAATGGAGACAGGCTCTCGAGAACAATGGCCTCCATATCAGCAGGAGCAAGACCGAGTTTCTGAGATGCAGTTTTAGTGAACAATATACGCCTCACATAAGTGTCTCCATCGACGGCCAGCCACTGCCCTGCGTCAATAAATTTAAATACCTCGGGTCAGTGCTAACAGCGGATATCAACATTGACGCAGACGTCACTCATAGAATTAATGCAGCGTGGCTAAGGTGGAGAACCCTATCAGGAATACTTTGCGATAGCAGGATGCCAATACAACTGAAAGGCAAGATTTACAAAACTGCTGTAAGACCTGCCATGTTATATGGTGCCGAATGTTGGGCGGCCAAGAAGATTCACGAAAAAAAGATGCACACGAATGAAATGAAAATGCTACGATGGTCAGCAGGCGTAACGAGACTTGATAAAGTGCGCAATAAGTACATCAGAGGTTCCTTTAAAGTTGCGCCCATTGTAGATAAGATGGTCGAGAGTCGTATGCGATGGTATGGGCATGTGATGAGGCGGGAAGAAGAACACCCAGTGAGGAGGGCCTTGGCAATTCCTGAGAAAAAGAAAGGCAGGGGACGCCCGTTAGCCACGTGGTGGACAACCGTATCCAAGGATCTGGAACGAGCACAGCTTGAAATACAGACAACCCAAGATAGGAAATCTTGGCGCATAAAAACGAGGAGAGCCGACCCCAAATAAAGGGACAAGGCAAGGAAGAAGAAGAAGATATTATAGTAAAATACAAAATGTTTAATTTTATCCCTTGTCTATATTAATATTGGATTGTAAAGGCACGTATGAAATAATGTTTGAAGTTATAAGTCATCACAGTAAGTCAAATCCTAATGTAAGGGCATCAGTAGAGTGTTCAGCTAGGCGTGTCTTTCAGTAAGACAAACACAAGCTCTTGTATTAACAGTGACAGACATCGAACGAATTAAACAACTAAAGTGAAAATGAACCGGCCATATAGCTGAAAGACCAATGGAGAAAACAGTTTATTGAGTGGTACAGTTATTCTATTTCACGATGAAGGTTTGACTTTGGTTGTTGTTTTGACATTGTGTTAGTGTGCGTAGTGTGTAGTGGAGCTCCCGAGGCGTACGCACACTAACACAATGTGTGTGTGTGTGTGTCTGCACGGCTAACAACAATCAACGTCAAAACGAATAACTATAGCTTTGTACTAGCAAACTCAATGGTGGGCAACCCCCCACTAGATGAAGCGACGACCGTACTCCCTGCATAGTTGAGAGTGGTGAATTAATACCGTGCAATGTGGCTATCTGAGAGAGAAGCCTATAAATTCCTTGGTAAATAAGTCTTGGTTCACTTACTTGTTACTGGTGAAATTTGAGAATATCATTAAATAACTATTTAAAAGGGTAACAAATAAGTAATCATTGCATGCCTGGAAAATCATTATATATAAAATATAAAATTTGAACTATGATTCTTCTTGGGAGAAGAGGCAATGTATACAAAAATTAATTATTAAAATATAATGAATATTTCAATAACTTAAATTTGTATAAAGTTATCTTGTTTACATTGCCTTACAATAGGGCTGTGACGAGACATTTTATCTTAGTTCAGGGGTAACGACGCATCTGCACTTTGGTTTTTAATCAAATTTAGGTATAGGTATCTATGGGCCACAGCCTCCACTTACCATCAGGTAGACTGTGATATTTATCACTCTATAAAAAAACACTTAATCCCATTAGGCATCATGTATAATGATTTTGTCACCCTTAAAAAAATTACGCAACGGTGTACAATCGTGCGTCCCTACTCGGCGGATAATTACCCGCGCAGTGAAAGCGGGCGGAACCGCGCAAGATGGCGCTGAATAACAATGACACATTAATTTCTTTTATGATATGACGCACAAGCGTTGAATATGAACGATTCGATTCGATCGAAAGCGAAAGCTAACTTGCATTAAATAATAAACATAAGTAATCCTTTTGTGGATTCAAGTAGTTTTTGAGCCCTTGACTAGAGTTAAAATATTATAGCTTTGGATAATTTGACACTTCGGTATTCAATCCTGAGCGAAGTTATATGAAACTCAAACGACAATCGAACTAACCGCTGATAATAATTTCTTATATATTTACGCGAACACTATACATTAAATGAAACTAATTTTAGGGATTTTAACAGTCCGCCCGTGACCATGGGTGCTGTAAAGCACTGGGAATAAGAAAGTCAAAATTAAACGATCGAAAATAAAATTAGTTTCATTTTTTTTATACACGGTAGAGCAATGCTGCAGCTATATTAGTGGTATAGTTGTAGCACGAATGAGTCGGCTCGACCGGGTAAGGCCCACGCTCTCACAGAATACCAGCGTAAAATAGCAGCTTAACGCTGCTATGTTTCGTATGGTGAGTGTAGAGAACTTAGTCTTAGTCCTCACGGGTGTATTTTCATTCTTAATGGAGGATAGATGTAGATGTCAATGGGCCACAGCAACCGCTTACCATCAGGTGGACTGTGGGCTCGTTTATCACCCTTATCATATATAAAAGAAATTAGTCCACCTGATGGTAAGCGACCACTGCAGTCCATGGACACCTGCAGCCAACTTCAAACAAAGAAGGCTGCAGATGCATTGTCTCCTCTGAGGACAAGAATGTCTCACAGCCTGTAACTGGCTCTCCATGGCCTTCGGACCGGAACAATATTCGGAAGTTCATTTTACGGTGAGCGTCGCCACTGCGTTACTACCACCAGCTATTGTTCAAAATAAGTTAGTTATTGCAAAATCATGTTGAATACGCCATTGTCATCAGACATTGAAGTTATAACGTCAATTCAATTAACTTCATGGGACACGTTTCTCTTTTACTCAATAAAATAAAATAGAAGCTTAGAATAACAGAGGTAGAGAAATCGGTAGCGATTAGCTTACCGTACCATCTTCTTTATACCACGTTTTTATTAATTTGCTTTCTGGTATGTCTGTTCGAGTCGAATTTAGTAATTGATCTTAAACTAACTTCCCGATGAGTTAGAAACTTGAAATTTTGAACGAAACTCAGAATCGGAAGACAATGTAAGAATAAAAAAAAAACGTAAAGATTTTTTTTTCACAATTTTAATTACTTTAGGATAAGGGAGACGAACAAGCATTATCTCGATTAAGAATTAAAAAGCAGATGCGTTGTCTGTTAACTCATTGTTCTAGTTTTGTACACTCACCATATGAAACACAGCAATGTTAAGCTGCTATTTTACGCTGGTATTCAATTTTGTTTTCACGTCTGATGCTAGCCATGACTTAATGTGACTATCTATATCCAGCTACACTAGATGTGATCGATTCATTCTTTGTAAATATTTATTTATGATGTTTTATGATGATTTGTGCAAGTAAATGATAATTTTATGATAAGTATTATGTATAAAATGAAATATTATGGTAAAGAACGCTGTGGTTAACATGACTTTTTTTAAAGATTTGCACAATTGCAAATTTAAAGAGTGATATTCATGGTGGATGACAATTTTACTAGCATTTTATAGAGAAACTGTATTTCAGTAAATTTTGAATTAGCGGATTAAAGCGGTTTGTTATGGTGGTGGAAATAACCTAAAAATAATAAATTAATTTGCACATAATAATATAATGTGGTACCTATAGAATAATATTAAAAAAACATACACAAATACATAAACACTCACGCCTGAGGGGTAGGCAGAGACTACGGACTTCCATTCGGCACGATCCTGACACACCTATCTCGCTTCCTCCACATCCATATGGCTACGGCTATATGCCCGACGGTTAAGGCTCAACTCACACTGGCGCAGAGTCGAAGCGATGTGACGCGTCATATTTTTCCGCCTACAGCATGTTCATCTCTATTGTTCTATTATTTAAGTACAAATTTTTGTCATGTAAATGTGGAAGTGCGCGTCGACGCGCGTGGACGCACGCATTCGCGCTTCGACACTCGGCTGTAGTCGAGTCGAGTGGATTCGCGAGCCGCTGCGCGTATTCGGGCGCAGTGACGCGTCAGACGTTAGCGTCGTCGTCGTCTGTCGTCTGTCCGTTATTGTTAGCAATAACGGACAGACGAAATAACGGACAGACGACAGTGCTGAACAACGACGACAATGGACGAACATGAAAAATTAATTTACTTAGTACAGAAATATGAATGTCTGTTTAACGTCAAGGCGAAAACCTACAGTGATAAAAATTGTAGGAAAAATGCCTGGCAAAAAGTAAGCGGCTTACGAGCATCGTCGCGCGCTGACGCGCGTCGCAGCGCGAAGGAACGCGTCGCCGTGCAAAACATGACGCGTCGCGTCGTTTCGACTCTGCGCCAGTGTGAGTTGAGCCTAAGGGTACTCTTAATCTGGCTCATCTCCAATATTTTATATCGTTCGATAAACTTTCGTCTAGGGCAGGGTTCGGCAACCTGTGGCTCTTTGGATGTGAAGCTGCGGCTCTTTAGTTTCATACGCAAATATTATTTATTTTATTATAAAAGCATTTAAAAATCAATCCACACTTAGCCATTTGGAGTTGATACTGGATCTCTAGAAATGCAATTGATCGAAATTAAAAAGTAAAGCTTTGTGGAGTTGAAAATTTACTGAGTTGAAAACTATGTTGAAAGAGTTGGAGGTTCAAAAATGTATGTACGTAACGCAATAAAAATGGACAGCTTTAAAGGAAACTCCGCGAGTTGAGGTACTTATATTCGACGGATGGAATGGTCTTTCAGTTTGCTACAGTGAGGTGAAGAAGTTAGCATTTGGAGTGCTGACTATCTTCGGATCGACATATTCGTGCGAGCAAGCATTCTCTTGCTCATATAATTAAAATAAAGTAAGAAGCCAACTAACAAATGAAACTTAAAACAAGAAGTTATGAGCCAAATTTATCCAAACTTTCTAAAACAATGCAAAGCCAACGCTCCCATTAAATTTGTTTGCTCAATTGTTTGTTATTGAAGTTCAAGTTAGTGTTGTAAGACACACTATTTATATAAGAATAAATATATATTTTTCTTATGATAGATTAGTTTTTTTTTTATCAAAAAACTTTATTTATGCAACTACTATTTATGGATGGCAAGAAAAAAATTTGTGGCTCTTTAAAAACTTTGCAATTTTGTAAATTGTAATTTTTGACTCTTCCGACTCAAAAGGTTGCCGACCCCTGGTCTAGGGCGTCCCTTCCATTTACTTTTTATTTGAATTAAAATTTTACTTTTTTGACCCCTTTGCCTGGACTCAAAAATAACATAACAAAAATAAGCTAAGAATAACTTGTCTTAATACATAGTTACATAAAAACTTCACCTTTGTTATTCTATATTTAGGGATGGATTTTTTCGAAATCCATTTGGACCCCAGAAGTTAAACGTATTTAATAAAAAAATAATTAAAATCGATTTACAGTTGACGGAGATACCGCATAACATTTATACAAAACTAGCGACTCGCCCCGGCTTCGCACGGTTTATTTTTGGATCTCAACAACAACGCCACCTACCGGGTCCAATTGTGAATCTAAACCATTCTATAATCAACTTAATCACACAAATCATCAAAATCGGTTCAGCCGTTAAGGAGTTCACATACACACGGACAGAAGAATTATATAATATATAATATGCATATATTATACATATAAACTTTTCTCTCAAATCAATCTGTCTATTTATTGTCTAATA